CCTCCTCCTCCTCCTCCTCCTCCTCCTCCTCCTCCTCCTCCTCCTCCTCCTCCTCCTCCTCCTCCTCCTCCTCCTCCTCCTCCTCCTCCCCACCCCTGCCGAGGGGGAGCGATACGGGGGACCAGCTCAGGGTGGAAGTACTGACCTGGAATCGGCGATCCCTGGGCTGGGTCTGGGACCCGAGTTGGGGCGGGCTGGCGCCCGGCGGGAGGGCCGCCGCTGTCACCACTGGCTGGCCCTCCTCCGACTCGGGGCTTCCGAAGAAAAGGAGGAAAACGAACAGGAGCAAAAGAGAGGAAGAAGAGGAAGAGGAAGAAGAGGAAGAAGAAGAAGAAGAACAAGAAGAACAAGCAGAGGAGCAAAATGCGCGAACATAAACTCTCGGAGGTCCGCGCGCGCGCGTCTTGGACATGCACCGGATCACCCGCCCCTGGCGCGCTGCGCGCGCCAGGACAGAGGTCTCTTGCGCCGGTCCAAGACATCCGCGCAGGCCCCTGATGAATTACGGTTGGGCCGTTGTCCCATCTTCGACCCCATCCAGCCGCCTGCCCGTGCCTGGGAGCAAGACAGGGGTATCGTCATGGCGGCGGTCGGCTTGCTTCCCAAACATCCGACGCCCTGGTTGTTCCTATGCGGGGTCCCCGGAAGGCCCTTCCCCAGGAGCGGCGTTTCATCCCGAATCGTCTTTTGGCGTCCCCGGGGCCCAGCGAAGGGACCCCCAAGGCCGAAAACTGAGAAAAGCCTCCGCGCTGAACTTCTAGGGGAACAAAAACTGCGTAAGCAGAAACTTTCGGAGGTTTGAACTGCTTCCTTTTAGGTCGGGCGTGTCCCACTACATGCGGATTTGGAACGAAAAAAAAGAATACCCAAAATATACCCCCAAACAGCCGAAATAATCCAACAATCGTCCCCTGACTATTTTTTGCCTATTTTTGAACATTCCTCCTGTAGAGGCACAGGCCAGATTTAAGCTTCCTTGCATCGCCGTTGGACTCCCATCCCTGGCGCGCGGAACGCGCCGGGGGTCGGCCCCAGAGGCGCCGCAAGGGAGCTCCAGCGCAGATCCGAAAATAATCCGCGCCGAGTTCCAAAATCATAATTTTAGGTCGGGCGTGTCCCCTACAGGCGGATTCTCGACGAAAATTAAAAATAGTCGAACAAAAAAATACTCCCAAAAGTCCTCCCCGCATTATTTGTTTACTATGTTTGAACATTTCCCCTGTAGAGGTACAGGCTCGATTTAATCATATTATGTGTACGCCGTCTTCTTTTTCGAACTTCTCAATGCGTCGATGTCCCCAGATCCCCGACGTCACTGTTTCTTGATAACGTGGACCCCAACAAGGTCTGCACCCCTCCCCTGGGACCAGCTTGTCATCCTGAGCCGTTCTACTGATGGCCCCGAGGCCCAGTGGGGGCCCCGCCGAAAATACCGAAGAACCTTCCGTCGTGATTCTTCCAGGCCTTGAAAACTAGGGCTCCCAAGTTCGCGCTTCGCGCTGCGCGAAGCGCGAAGCGCGAATAACTTCGCGCTCTCGCGCCGCCCCCCAAGGGGGAGAAGAGGAGGACGAGGAGGAGGGGGAGGAGGAACGAGGACCGCGAAGCGCGAAGCGCGAATAACTTCGCGCCCTCCTGGGAGCCCTTGATTCTTCCAGGCCTTGAAAAGGAAGGCAGAGGAGAGGGGGCGGGCCGTCTCAGAATGCTCGGAAGGCCTCGAGCCCTCTGGAAGGCCCTCTGCTGGAGGCTTAGAAATGGGCACCAACACCAGTACGGCAGGTTCGTGTCGTGCCGACCCCAGCGTTGGTTTTTGACACCGCAGGGATCGTTCAACCTTGAACGATCGGCCGCTGCCGCAACGTCCAAACGTTCAACATCGATCGATTCTGGGTCGCTGGCGGCGTTCAACCTTGAACGCCCGCGCTGGGGTCGCCGCGAGTCGACACGACGCAAACCTACCGTACCGAGGGTTGCCTCTACCAGGGGAGGGAGATCCTAGATTTTGGTGTTGGTGGTGCTATTTCGGCCACCTTGAAGCCCGAATATTACCACCATCACCGAGATCGGGATCATCTTTCCTCGGTGGAGGCACATCGCCGATATTGGCGCTGGTGTCAACCTCTGGGCCTCCGATTCTGAGCCTTCTCCGAAGCCGGGCCGCCTTCTGAGAAGGCCTGCCCGTCTCACGCCCCCCTCGGCGCGCCGCCGAGAGAAGAGGCTCCGAGGCGTCGGGGACTCCCCGGAGGCCTGGGGGGGCGTCTGGGCGCTCCGGGCTCAGGCCCGAAGAGCACGCGAGGCCCCCGGTTGTCCGGAGCACGTTCGGAGGCGGACCGCCGCCGCCGCCGTCGCAGGCAGCCGCGGGCGCCCGTCGCCGGTCGTCGCCCGTCGTCGTCGCCGCCCGTCGTCGTCGTGGTCGCCGTCGTCGTCCTCATCGTCGCCCGTCGCTTGTCGCCCGTCGCCAGTCGCCCGTCGCCTGTCGCCCCTCGCCCCTCGCCCGTCGCCCGTCGTCCGTCATCGTCGTCGTCGCCGATCCTCGTCGTCGGTCCTCGTCGTCGCGCCCTCGCCGTCGGTCGTCGCCCGTCGCCCGCCGCCCGTCGCCCGTCGCCCGTCGCCCTTCGCCCGTCGCCCGTCGCCCGTCGCCCGTCGCCCGTCGCCCGTCGCCCGTCGTCCTCGTCCTCGTCCTCGACCGTCGTCCTCGACCGTCGTCGTCGACCCTCGTCGTCGGTCCTCGTCGCCCGTCGCCCGCCGCCGGCGGTCCTCCTCGTGGGGTCTGGTTGGGGGGGCAGGTTGGGCCGCCCCTTCGGCCTCCGCCCGTGGCCGTCGTGCTGGTGGCCCGCGACTCCGGAGGCGCGGGCGAGAGCTGCTGCCACTCGCAGGGAGCCGAGGAGGGCGCGGACACGAAGCGCAGCTGCGCCCGCAGGCCCACGCCGAGCGCGCGGCGGCCGATGATGCTCTGCACCTGCGCCACGAGCAGAAATACACCCTCCTTCTCCTCCTCCTCCTCCTCCACTCCTCCTCCTCCTCCTCCTCCTCCTCCTCCTCCTCCTCCTCCTCCTCCTCCCTCCTCCTCCTCCTTCCACCTCCGCGCCTCCCCCTCCTCCTCCTCCTCCTCCTCCTCCTCCTCCTCCTCCTCCCCCTCCTCACCATCACAGATACCCGCCGACGGACTCTGCATGTGCCTTCCGGGAGGGCGGCGGTGCACAAAGCCGCTGGCCCGCAGGGGTGACTCGTACGCCGCCATCCTCCCCTGAGGCCCAAGAGCAATTCATTGGAGGGTGTCTGTGCGTATATATTTGTGTGGCGGAGCACCTGCCGGCGGGCACAAACAAACAACGGCATGATCACGGCAGGTTCGTGTCGTGACGACCCCAGCATTGGTTTCTGGCACCGCATTGGTCCTTCAACCTGGCAAGAGAGGCTGCTGTTCGATCGCCAGCTCGTTCCACATTGGTCCAGTCTGGGCCAATGGCGGCGTTCAACCTTGAACGCCCGTGGCGGCGTCGCCGCCGCGTCATCACAGCGCGAACCTGCCGTAAACATGCGGTTGGCGTTACAAAGATAGCGTCCGATGTGGCACCACCAGCAAACTTATTACACCCTATCCCCTAGGGAACAGAGGCAGTCCACTACCGCCCAACGCATGGACAAAGGGATCCAGAGGCGGGTGGCGCTTCCGACAGTGCCTGAAAGGATGGTGCCTGGCCAATGCGTACTGTCGACGTACGGCTGTCTTGGAAGAGTCGGGGCCAAACTCGAGCACAGCAGCGGGAAGGGGAAGAGGGACGACAGGAGGAAACGACGCCGGGGAGGCGCCACCTTGGGGATAGCGTGCACCGATGAGGCCCTGGCAAGTAGGTAGCGCCTACAGAATCGGCCCACGCGGGGGGGGCGCCTGACAAGGATACCGTGCTTTTCGGCGATCGATGTTGCCCGCTATCTTTCCAACGCCAACCGTAAACGTTCGGAGGTCCGCGCGGATATTGCTTGGATCGGCGCCAGACGCGCCGCCAGGGGGGCCCAGCGCAGATCAAGATCCCAGAAATCCGCGCGGAGCTCCGAAAGCTGATGTTTACACAGTCTGTCTAGTCCTCGAACCTTGCGCATGGCCTCCAGGAACTCGGCCCGACCGATCTTCTGGTGCGGGGGGCGTCAGCTGGCCTCGAGTTCTGGGCCCGGCAACTGCTTCCCTCCGGGCGTCTGCGCCCGTTCTTGGGGCCCCGGGACCCCAGCACGGACTGGCACGAGAGAAGCCGCAGGAATGGTCAGCATGGGGAGAGCGGGTGCCCTGCAAGCCCAGACCTCTCTCATCGAGCCGGGAGAAAGAAAAATCACGGCGCGGGAGGTCTTTCACTATGCTCGGCCCCCAGGGTTCCTGGCCGGGCCTCGGGGCAGCATGAGCAGCAGGGAACTGGCTCCTCAAGGGCTCCTAAGTTCGCGCTTCGCGCTGCGCGAAGCGCGAAGCGCGAATAACTTCGCGCCCTCGCGCCGCCCTCCCAAAGGGAGAAGAGGAGGACGAGGAGGAGGGGGAGGAGGAACGAGGACCGCGAAGCGCGAAGCGCGAATAACTTCGCGCCCTCGAGGGAGCCCTTGCCCAAGGACGAGATCTCCACCCCGAGCCGTCTTCTGCTGGTCCCGGGGGCCCGTGGGGGGGGGGCCCGAGAGCCCGAGAAACGGCGACGGGGCTCGGGACCCGTGTCCCTATAGGGGCCTGCTTCCCCCATGGCGCAAGGGCTCCCACGAGGGCGCGAAGTTATTCGCGCTTCGCGCTTCGCGGTCCTCGTTCCTTCTCCCCCTCCTCCTCGTCCTCCTACTCTCCCTTTGGGGGGGCGGCGCGAGAGCGCGAAGTTATTCGCGCTTCGCGCTTCGCGCAGCGCGAAGCGCGAACTTAGGAGCCCTTGCGAAGAGACTGGGTCCGGGGCCCTGGCTGTGATTTTTCGCGATGCTGCCCTTGTTCGCAGCGTCCGCCTCGCCGATTCTGGCCCGGCCGATTCCGGGCCCTGTGCTTCGGTCGGGCATGCCCTCCTACAGGCGAATTTTGGAGGAATCATGAAAAGCACTCGAACAAATACTCAAAAATAAGATTCGAAAATAGTCGAAAAATCGTCCCCAGACTAATTTTTGACTATTCCTCCTGTAGAGGGACGTGCCCGACGTAACCCTGGGTCGGTGCACGGCACGGCAGGATCATAGGGGCGCGCGGCACGGATGCGGGAACCATGGCTGTCCAGGATGATCGGGGATCTGCTGGCCCGGGTCAATCCAAACCTGGTTCAGTCGGGCTGTGCAGGGTCCTGCAAGATCCTGCAGGATCCTGCGCGCTAGTCTGGGTCGGTGCACCCCTGGCTCTGCGGGATCCTGCACGATCCAGCGCTCTGGCTGACCCCCGTTTGCGTTGACCCCCGTCTCTTGCATCTCAAAGGCATCTCGAGCGAAGGCTGCCGGCATTCCTTACGCATTGGCCACTGATGGGCCGAGGGTGCAAGGGTCGGGTCGGACGAGAGGGGGGGGATACCAAAGCGGGAGTTCGCGAATAAGCTCACGTGGCTAGTTATCCAGGCGCCTCCTGGCGAGGGGGGGGGCCAATGTATGGAGGCGCTCGGCGAAGAGGCCAAAACACGCTGCATGCAACAGATTTCGTAGCCCCCCCTTCCCTATGCCCCCCTTTCTCGCCATCGCTCGGACGTCCACTCCCCGTGCATCTTTCGGCTTCGTGCGCTCTCTTCCGCAAGATGATCAGAGATGCTCCCCGATGGCCCTCGGTGAAAGAAAAAAGCGCTCGCCCGAGCGATGCCGAGCTTCGTCCGACCCGAGAGGGTGAAAGGGTGTCCTTGCAGAGCTTCTCATCCTGTGGGAGACCTTTCTTTTTTTGAATCGGCGATAACCCGGGTTATCCCGGGGGGAGGAGGAGGAGGGGGCCGGCCGATAACCTAACCTTCGCGCTGTAGGCAGCCCTGCATATGCCCGCGCCCCCCCACCCCGGACCTGCACGACCGGCAAGGTCAGGCTATTCTGGGGGGGGGGAGGGAGGCAAGCCCGATGACCTGGGTTATCGCCGTACCCTAAAAAAACAGTCTCCTGCTTGACTGTGCACGCCCTCTTGGCCAGGCCAGAGGGGCACACCGGAGCGGGGCTCAAGCTGAGACAGCGGCAGCTCGGCATCGGCCCCCGGGGCCCCTCCGAGGGCCGAAGAGCGCACCAGCTCTGCGAGCTGCGCCCCGCCAGGGCGACGAGGGTGCCCCCGAAGGCCAGCTGCCGCTGCCTTCAGCTCGCCCTCCTCGGATCTGGACGCCCGACGGGGGCACGGAGGGAATGCGCACGCTGCCCAACAGCACGAGCTGTCCAAGACCGGCGGCCGCAGGCGGCCTCCTGCCTCAAGCGGACAGCGCCCGCGGGGGCACCGACCGCGAGCCTTGCTCAGAGTGGGCAGGAACTGCTGTCGGTCTTGGTACCCACCAGTTCTTGTGGCGAGGCGAAGAAAGGGGGTCAGGGGGAGGGGGGAAGGCTCCTTGGAAGGAGGCTGCCTCTTGGTTGGAAGGCGCGGGCCCTACGTCTGCAGACAAGGCCCGCGCCTCCTGCGACGCAGGAGTGCGCCTCTAAGAAGCCTTCCCCCCCTCCCCCGAATCCCCCCTTCTGCGCGTGGCCGCATTCCGCCCGCGCCGATCGGAGCACGGGCACCGATCCTGCGCACCCAGGGCCCGCCCGGCGCTAGGTCGGGCGTGTCCCCCTACAGGCGGATTTTGGACGGAAAATGTTAAAACAGTCGAAAGTATCAAAAAAACTCCCAAAAATACTCTAAAAGTCGTCCCCAGACGAATGTTATACTATGTTCGAATACTGCTCCAGTCGAGGGACGGGCCCGACTCGAGCCCGGCCGGCAGCGGCGAGGTGGCCAGCGGACGCCCCCCGAGGCTGGTCGGGCTGCGAGTCATCGGGCACGGCTCCGCAGGGCGCAAGGGGCACCCCCAGGTCGTCCACCGCGATGCACACCTGGGCATCGCTGCACGGTTTTTCCCCGGGGCCGTAGGCGACCGGAGGAGGAGGAGGAGAAGGAAGAGGAGAGAGAGAAGGAGGAGGAGGAGGAGGAGGAGGAGGAGGAGGAGAAGGAGAAGGAGAAGGAGGTGGAGGAGGGGGGGGAGGAGGAGGAGGAGGAGGAGGAGGAGGAGGAGGAGGAGGAGGAGGAGGAGGAGGAGATGGAGAAAGAGGAGGAGGAGGAGGAGAAGGAGGAGGAGGAAGAGGAGGAGGAGGAGGACGGGTCGCCTAAGACCTTCGGAAAAAAAAACCCTCCAGGCATCGCTGGGCCGATCCCCATCCCACAATCGTGGCCCAGTCGTTGAGGGAGACCCAAGACGAAGCCAGGACGAGGATAACATCGAGTCAAGATAAATCGAGAATCTCTGAAATCCGGCGGCTCTGGAGGATGCCTCGGGCGCCGCGGCCTTCTCGGAGATTTCCGGAAGGCCCTGAGAGCGTCCCAGGACGCTATGGAACGCATTTATCCTCGTCCTACCCCTGTCCGAAGAACGTGGTTGGCAGCAAAGTGGCCCCAAGAAGCCACCAGAGGCCCTTTTCAAAACGCGCCCCGGAGGCTCCCGGATGCCACCAGGAAGCGGCGCCGTCGGCAACCCACGAAGAGCCCTTCTGCAAAACACTCAAAGTGACGGCAACCCTTGGCCCCACTGGCCGACTTGCCCACCGTGGGTGGGTGGGGACATGCGCTGCTCCCCTCGGGCCTCGCAGGTCCTATCCCCACCCGGGTGGGTGGGCTGGTCAAGCCGACGTACCCTCCAAGACTTGTTCCGTCACGCAGCGGCCAGAGGCCACCCGCACGCGATCTCGAGAATCCAGGGGCCCTCAGCATGCCAACTGTCCGGCTGCAACAGACAAAACAGGCAGGGAGGGGCGGTCGCGAACCACAGGAAGGGGAGGAGGGCACTCACCGCGGAGAGAATTTCACGATGCGCGCGCCAATGCGGCAAGCTGAGGCTGAAGTGTTCTGGCAGTGGGCGCGGGACGGCGTCACGACCACACCCAGGGACCGAAGCCGGGGCTGCAGGCGCAGGAAGCGTGATGAGCAGTGTGAACCACTGCGATGTCGTGACTTGCTCGATACGGGGTCCCCAGAAATCCCGACCCTGTGGCTTTTCATCCCCAGTCGTATGTGGTGTAAAAATAAGGAGGAGGAGGAGGAGGAGGAGGAGGAGGAGGAGGAGGAGGAGGAGGGAGGAGGAGGAGGAGGAGGAGGGGGAGGAGGAGGAGGAGGGAGGAGGAGGAGGAGGGGGAGGAGGAGGAGGAGGATGGGGATGGGTTCGACGGTGCTGCACACCCCCGTCTCGCCCTCCATGGTGTCCGCGCACGCGCGGATGACCCGGGCGAGGTCCGAGGTCGAGATCCGCGCGCCGCGGTCGCCGCCGTCGGCTGGCGCTCCGGGCAGGGCGCCGTCCTACATCAACAAAAGACACGCCAAAACTGAAGGGGCCCCAGGACACACAAATAGATACACACAAATAACAATATTCCCCATATTTTCCCATATTTTCTGGGTTTTCGTCTTCCCCCCCACTTCCCATATTTTCCCATACTTTCCGCGGAGTCGACGATTAATTGTGTCTGTGTGTTTCTTTCCCTCCTGATACATCAACAAAAGACACGCCAAAACATGAACTGTCCGAGGAGGTCCGCGCTGAGTTCTTGGATCGGTGCCGGGGCCCCCTGGCGGCGCCTCTGGCGCCGACCCTGGGTCGCGTGGCGCGCCAGGGAGAGGGTGCAGCGCCGATGCAAGAAATCCGCGCGGAGCTCCGACAAGTTGTGTTTATGCCATTTGTTGTCTTCGACGTCCACGTCGCTCGGGTGGCGGATCGAGTCGAAAAGCTGCTCCGCCAGGGCGAGGTGAACCTCGCGGGGAGCCGCGGGAGTCTCCCCCTCGGACCCTGCTCTCCACCCGACCGTCCAAGATCTAGGGAGCCGCAGAGGTGCACTCCAAGGTATGCGGCCTCTCGTATGTACAGCAGATTCGTGTCGCGACGGCCCCGGCTTTGGTTTCCGACACCACATGGATCGTTCAACCTTGAACGACCGACTGCTTTTCGACCGCCAAACCGTCCCACATTGGCCACTTCTGGGACACTGGCGGCGCAGCGGGGTCGCGGCCGCGTCGACACGGCACGCGGCTACCATATGCTTGGATCCGTGAGGAGGAGATGGGGAGCGCGCGACCACTGAATCTCACTACGGCGTGACTGGCACAGTAACGTGAAGCAGAAGATCGCCAGGCAAACTAGGATCGCTACACGAGCCGACCTGCCAAAAGCAAGCTCATGCGAAAACGGCATGGCGAATCTGCCGTACTTTGCTGCACGTTTCACGCTGGCGTACCCCGACGAGCGGAGGAGGCTGCGAACATAGCTTTTCGTGGTCATGCTCCTGCCCTCAGGAAGAGGGAGGAGCGAGAGATGAACTGGCAGCTACGGCCAGACCCAAGACAGAAAAACATCATTCAAAAACATGCGACACTCCGCCAGCCAAACTGAAGAACATTCAAGGGCAGCCTCCCCCAAGATGCACAAGAAGAACATCCAACAGACACGAAGAACATGAGGGCACCCTCCCCGAACCGACCTCGAATGTATACCTCGGTCCAACCGCCCCTCTCCCGCGCCTCCCACCCACCTCCTCCCTGCCCCCACCCTCCCCCACTCACCTCTACTCCCCTCCCCCTACCCGTCTCCGCCCGTTCCCTCCCGCTCCCCTCTCCTTCTACAATTCATTACCCCATGCGAGTACTGCCATTTTTGTTTCTCCCCGGATCCTGTCCGAACGTGGCTACCTTTTCTCCTGCAGGATGTTTTCTAGCACATGGGATCTCAAAAGGCGGTCTTTTGACGCTGGTTGTCAATCGGGACGCTTTCGGTGTCTCAGAATGGCGTTCCCGCTGCAGCGATGGCCTCGTTTCAGGATCGGCGCTGTGCTCCCGTCGCTCAGAACGGCGCTCTCGTCCCAGCGCGGCCCACGTGTTCTGGATTCGAGTCATTCCTCGTCGTCGTCGCCCCGATCCTTTCCCCTCCTCTGCCTTCGACAGGTCTTCCTCCCCCTCCTCCTCCTCCTCCTCCTCCTCCTCCTCCTCCTCCTCCCACTGCTGCTGTTCCTCGTCCTCCTCCTCCTCCTCCTCCTCCTCCTCCTCCTCCTCCTCCTCCTCCTCATCCGTCCTCATCCTCATCCTCATCCTCCGCCTCCTGCCCGTGTCCATTGTGCACAGCTCCCCTTATTCCTCACATGGACGTTGCCCGAGGGGGGGGCCTACTTGGCTTGTAGAACCAGGTGCGGGAACTCCGCCGGATGGCGTTCCTCGGGGTTGCTTGGTACTGTCTCCTTGCAAAGCATGCCCTGGTCTGCTGACAATTCTGTTCCATGATTTACAGCCGGCCCGTATCATAAGGATACGCGATAAGGATGCAAGGGCCTTGGACGCTCATTTCGAAGCTCTTCGAGCGGGGCGCGGCCAACGAAAGTCGCTAAGGATGGGCCGAAGGGGCAAGGATGCAGGGGGCACACTTGGGAAGGTCACCCATCCTTACCATGCGGGCTGACTGTACTGCGTTCCTCGGGTTGCTTGTGTTTCTCCCTTGCTGCCTTGCAGCGCCAAGCCATGCAAGGCAGCGCAACTCTAAGCAACGCCAAGCAGTGTGAAACAGTGTGCAAAGCAACGCCAGGCAACGCCACGAAACGCCAAGCAACGCCGAGCAACGCCGAGCAACGCCAAGAAAGCAAAGCAGTGCAAACCAATGCCAAGCAATGCCAGGCAATGCCAGGCAATACCAAGTAATGCCAGGCAATACCAAGCAATGCCAAGCCATGCCAAGCAATACCAAGCCATGCCAAGCAACGCCAAGCAACGCCAAGCAAGCCCACGCAACGCCAAGCAACGCCAAGCAACGCCAAGCAATGTCAAGCAAGGCCAAACAATGCCAAGCAATGCAAAGCCATGCCAAGCAATACCAAGCCATGCCAAGCAACGCCAAGCAACAGCAAGCAACGCCAAGCAACGCCAAGCAACGCCAAACAACGCCAAGAATTGCACGGCAATGCCAAGCAACGTCAAGCAGTGCAAAACCACGATGCCAAACAATACCAGGCGACACCAAGTGATACCACGACATGCAATGAAAAGCCAATGTCAAGCAACGCCAAGCAACGCAAAGCTATGAACCTCGCTCCATTATCATCTGACTGCGCATAACACGATGGAATAATTTGGGGTGTTGCGGTCCGCTATGACGCCCGCCGGCGGATAGAGGAACATCAGCGCAGTGGGAAGGGGTGGGTGGGAGGAGTACGATGTTCTTGTCTCGGTGAGTGGTCAACTTGTTGCCCCAAACCTGATGCTGGTGAGCACACGGTGGCACCATCCACCACATTTGTGCGCACGTCCACTCGGCACTTTCGGCGCATATATGGTATCGCGCGGGCTAAGCGTCATCCGCGTCCTTGCATTTCTGTTGTGCGCAACCACCATTGTCAGCAGTGCGTGTGGCGTATGAGCGCTGTTGCAGAATATGCGTCACTACGGGGACTCTCGGTATTCACTTTGCTGTGAGACATTAAGAAGGCATTTGAGCAGGTTTGACATCGTCAATTGATTCAGAGGTGCGCTCAGTACCAGTTCAACTCTGCCCTTCTACGAGCCTTGCTGAGCTTGCATCGATCCCCTCGTGTCCTCACGGTGCGCCGAATCGTCGGAGAATGGATCTCAACTGCTATTACTGTCGTTGCTGGGTGCTCGTTTGCCGACTTGTTATGCGCATCAAGTTGATGCCAGAGCTGGATTCGGTGTTGCGTGCCTATCCTACCTTGCACCTTGCGCTTGTGGCTGATGACGTTCAGGTCTCGGGCATGGCCACAGAGGCTGAGGTGATGAGGTCGGGCCCACATTCCTCCCACCTCCTCGTGGGTAAGTTGGCTTACTCTGCCCCCCCTAGCTCTGTCTCAGCAGAAAATGATACTCTTTGCGTCGGATGGCAATCTGGCACGGCAAAATGCTGTTGAGACCCCTCGTTTGGGGGCTGCTGTTCGTTTGTCGTGCAGGAATCTAAGCATCGACTACCAGGTGCGTCGAGGTCGACGCATTCGAAAGGTGCTAAACGATCGAATCAAGAGTGCTATATCCAAAGCACGTCGCCTGGTCAAGCTTCGACACGCAGGTGCTGAGGTTCTGGAAATCGTCAACACCAATCATCGACCGACGGTGACCTTTGGCATAGATGTGGAGAGTCTGAGCTTTTACCAGATTACGCAAATACGAAACGTCTATCATGCTGGTCTTGGCACAGGTTAGCGCTGATCCGTCATAATGGACTTGGCCTTGTAAGGAGTCTCTGACCCCGCTCTCGAGCTCTTGCCGAAGCGGTTCGTCTCTGGACGGGATCTAGGTGGATGCCCTTACTTCCTTGGGACATTATCGGTCGCGTCTTGTAATCAGCCATTGCATCGGTTTCGGAGCAAACTCCATGGATTTCGCTTCAGGGCCATGCGGCAATTCTGGTGGCGACTCCCGACGGACTGGAAAACTGCAAAACTGCATTGAGAATCTCCATGAATATTACGACTGCTGCCCCTCGTGAGGTCGTGGCCTTCTTGGAATCGCTCTGCGCATGTCTGGGCTTGGCAGCAGGCCTCGAATCGTCATCCCCTGTATTGCCATTTGACTGGGCCCCCTTCCTGGAGCCCAATTCGGACTTTGCTCGGCAAGAAACTCGGGGATGGGGCGAGCTCCCGCACCGTGCTGCGCGCAATTGCCTTCTCAGCGGGGGGAACCTATTCTAAGCACCAGTGCATTTGGTGTGGCCCAAATCCAGTCCACCCCATCTTCCATACTCTGCTTGAGTGTGACGGGCTTTCTGGTTTTCGACGCAGGTTTGAAGCGACTCCTGCCCTTCGTCGCTGCCTTGAGCTGCATCGTAGTAGCCCAGTCTGGACCACAGCTTTGGTCCCTGACCCTCGATGCTCCAGTTGTTTTGCTCCGCCCATTCCTGAGCCCGCATGGAAGTTGCTCGAGATGGGCCTCTCTTCTCGTCGCGTGCGCATGGTGACGGCTCGGGAATCTGCGGCCCCTCCCCCCACGCACTTCTGGCGGGATGAGGCATTTGTGCTTCTGCTGGACCGAGGGTGAATGCCTCTGCTCCTGGGGCCTGCCGTCATCTGCTCCAGAAGGCTCTGGGCGCGGAGCTGCACGCGTCTTATTCCTGCTTGACGCATGCTGCCCCCAGCCCTGTGTATGAAAATGTACTTGATGCGCAATGCATTGATTGACGCGTGGGCCCTCGGTTTTGAAGTCACACACCCACGGGTGGGCTCACCACTGTGCCTTGTGGGGAGAGAGGTTCACCGCGTCGCACCTGACATTGGCAATAACCTGATGCGCCTGGCCAAAAGTTCGCTCGCATGATCGGCTGGCCGCTGGTATCCATCATGCTGGGAACCAGGAGGCTGACCGCTTGGCTAAGCTAGGGGCGCCCCCCCACTCTAAGGATCCAGTGGTGTTGGATCGCGTGGCAAGGTCCACTGTTCTTGTTACACAGATTGCCCTGTATATTGGCCACTGCATTGCTTGGATGTTCAAGCATGTACCTGTAGATGTGCGGCAAGCTGACACCGAACCTCCCCCTGCTCCTTCCTTAGTGCCTACGCTACTCCTCTCAGGCGCTCGGGAAGGGGCGTTGCATGGGCACGTTTGGGGCCCCAGCATAAGCAGGTTCAGATGTGATATGTGTTGGTCCGGTTCTGTTTCTAAACAGCAGCTCCTCCGGACACATTGTACAAATCCCACCGGTGGCAGACACGTTCCTCGGAAATTGTGTGGTACGATTATCTGCGACCGCTGTGGTCGGCACAGACAGAAAATGTTGCCGATTTGAAGTTTGGTTGTCAGTGTCGGCCCCGCGCTCCTGGCACCATTTCTAGGCTAAATCAGGTGCGGGATGGGCGGCACCCTCGGACCAGCGTGCCCATCGGCTCGGTTGTGCCAATAGGCCAAGCCAATGTTGTGTATGCGCTCCCTGAGCCGAACGACACTTTTCTCGTTTCAGGCCTTGTTTGATCCAGACTGGCCCCTCGAGGGCTAATGATTGGGTTGGTGGAATGGTTATGGGCTTCGTTCTGGAGGCGGCGGGGGAGGTGTACACTCATTTTGCTCTGCCAAGCGGTGTTATCAATACCCAGCTGGACTTGTAAGTTTTGCAAGCCTTCCTGGTCGTTCTGATCTGGGATGCTGTACCCTGTTGCGCCGAATCTCGCGTGCGTCGGATATCTGTGCGATTCGTCCAGCGCCGAACGTCGTGCGCCGACGCGTCAGCTACCTCTGACACGGTTGCCACGCGGAGATGTTGCTCCGCCATGTGCGGGTTGTGCCACGGACGCCGTTTATCTGAGACGGGGGGTCGCCTGCCCATCAGCGGTCGCTGTCGGACTCGTTTGATATGTATTCAATATGTCTCCTTTGCTTTGTGCCTATTGTCCTTTGGACGCCCAGGCTCGCAAAGAGACAAGAGAAGACAAAGCCGCTCTTCTCATTTGATTGTTCCCAGAGCGAGGGGTGCCGAAACGTTCACCTCTTCTCTAGGGGTGCCGAAACGTTCACCTCGTCGCCTGGATCCGCCGCCCACTGCGCGAGTGCCGAGCCGCGGCAGAACCAGACACTCGTAGCGTCTGGCTCGCGCGTGGGTCTCCTTTCCTGTCTATGATTGGGTGGGGTTGGCCATAGAAGAGATGGGGGCGGTGATGTACTACTTGGTGGAGAGAAGTCTGGCAGCACATGCTGCCGTAAGGACCCGGTGCTATACATTCCGTCCAAGAAACGGTACCAGCGGCAGCACAGATGCCTTGCTTGCTAGCTTGCCTGCCGCTTGCACTTGACGCTTGGTTGTGTTGTCCCCTCGTTGGTTCGGGCCTCGTTGCCTCGCCGATCGTTGCCTCTCCGCCGTGGCCGGTTCTGTTGGCCCTCGCGCTCGTTTTCGTGTTCGGGCCCCTCGGTCGGCCCCGCTCGTCGCCGCAAGTCTTTGGGAGCTAGCGCTGAACTCCAGCCCACGGCCAAATAAGCTCTCTCCCCCGCTCTCCCCATCCCCTCCAACTCCATCAGCATCTCCCTTTGTGTTCCCCCCCCCCGGCATCCGACGTCATCATGCTTCACAGCGTGGCCCCCCCAGATGTTTGGACCCCTTTCCAAGGAACGCCGTCTCATCCTGAGCCGTTGTTCGACGACCCCAAGGGCCCAGCAAGGGCCCCCCGGGGCCGCAAAACGGCCCAAACCTTCCGTCGTGATTGAGTTCACGACGCGGGGGATGTCAGGGGGGGACTGAGCTTTCCGAATTGGAGCTCCTCCTCCTCCTCCTCATCCTCCTCATCCTCCTCCTCCTCCTCCTCCTCCTCCCCTCCTCCTCCTCCTCCTCCTCCTCCTCCTCCTCCTCCCCCTCCTCCTCCCTCTCCTCCTCCTCCTCCTCCTCCTCCTCCTCCTCCTGGCTTCTGGCTTGGACCTCGTCGCTCCCCGAGACGGCCCGCGACGTGGCGCAGGCATCCATGGCGGCCCAGAGGCAGAGGAGGCGCCTTGGAGCGAGCCTTCCTCCTCCGGCCGCCTGCCCTCGGGCCCAAAGAGTGGCCAGCCGCGGACGGGTGGTCTGCCCTCCGTCCTCCTGCTCCTCCTCCTGCTCCTCCTGCTACTCATGCTCCTCGTTCTGCTCCTCTTGCTCCTCGTTCTCCTCATCGTCCTCCTGCTCCTCGTTCTCCTCCTGCTCCTCCTGCTCCTGCTCCTCCTCTTGCTCCCTCTCCTCCTCCTCCTCCTCCTCCTCCTCCTCCTCCTCCTCCTCCTCCTCCAACTCCTCCTTCTCATCCTCCTCTCCTCCTCCTCCTCCCCTCCTCCTCCTCCTCATCATCATCATCATCATCATCATCATCATCATCATCATCATCATCATCATCAATCATCATCATCATCATCATCATCAGCATCAGCATCATCATCATCATCATCATCATCATCATCAGCAGCAGCAGCAGCAGCAGCATCATCATCATCCTTCTCCTCCTCTTCCTCCTCCTCCTCCTCCCTCGTCCTCAGCCGTCACCCACAATCCGCATCCTCACAAGATCCTCTCCTCTCATATCCCCTCCTCTCCTCTCCACTCTTCTCCTCCTCCTCCTCCTCCTCCTCCTCCTCCTCCTGCTCCGTTTCCTCCTCTTCCTCCTCCACCTCCTCCTCATCCTCCTCATCCTGCTCCTCCTCCTCCTCCTCCTCCTCTTCCTCCTCCTCCTTCTGCTCCTGTTCCTCCTCCTCCTCCTCCTCCCCCTCATCCGCCTCCTCCTCATCATCATCTCCTCCTCCTACTGCTACTGCTCCTCATACTCCTCCTTGTCTTCTTGGCTATGGCTGTGTGTATGGTTACCCGATGTCGCATTAATCATGGAACTAGTGGTTGTCTCATCGCGCGCAATATCCTGAATATCATTATAAGTCTCGTTCATAGTGCCAGTATCCGTACGGTCCGTCTTCGTCTTCTTCGTCTTCGGTTAGTATACTTCGGCTGTTATGACATTCGTTTTCCGCCTCATCAGCAGCAGCATCATCATCAGCATCATCATCAGCAGCAGCATCAGCATTATCATCAGCATCAGAAATAGCAGCCGCATCGTCATCATCATCAGCATCAGCAGCATCGTCAGCACCATCAGCATCATGATCATCAGCAGCAGCAGCATCATCAGCATCATCAGCATCAGCACCACCATCATCATCAGCATCATCAGCAGCATCATCCGCAGCAGCATCATCTGCAGCAGCATAGCAGCAGCATCAGCATCAGCATCATGGTCATCATCATCAGCAGCAGCATTAGCATCAGCATCATCAGCATCCGCATCAGCATCGCCAGCATTAGCATCAGCATCAGCTTAAACACCGTCACCATCAGCATCATTATCAGTATCAGCATCATCATCATAATCATCAGCAGCAGCAGCATCATCAGCATCAGCAGGAACGTCATTAACATTAACATCATCATCAGCAGCCTCATCATCAGCAGCAGCAACATTATCAGCATCATCACCCATCAGCCACAGTCCGCATCCTCTCATGATACTCTCCTCTCCTATCCTCTCCTCTCCTCTCCTCTCCACTCCTCCCCTCCTCCTCTTCCTCCTCCTCCTCCTCCTCCTCCTCCTCTTCCTCCTCCTCCTCCTGCACCTCCTCCATTCCTTTTCCGGATAAATAACATATCCCTGTCGCACCCCCGGGCCAGTTTTTTGGGCGGGCCGGGCGTTTCGCCTGAGACTCCCTCACCACTTATGACTCTGAAGGTTAGGAATTGGCAACAGCTTCACAGATGGAGGAGAGGTCGTTTTCAAAATGTGGCTCTCGCCTTGGCGCCGCGAACACTCGTTATGAAGAATTGCAGGAGCTTCACGGATTGAGGGCGGGTGGTTTTCAAAATGTGGCTCTCGCCTGAGCGCCGCGCACCCTCGTCTTAGAAATTTGCAACAGGCTTCACGGATTGAGGGCGAGTGGTTTTCAAAATGTGGCTCTCGCCTCAGCGCCGCGCACATTCGTCTTAAAACATGTGCAAGAGCTTCACGGATTGAGGGCGAGTGGTTTTCAAAATGTGGCTCTCGCCTCAGCGCAACGCACATTCGTTTCCAAGCATGTGAAAGAGCTTCACGGATTGAGGGCGAGTGGTTTCCAAAATGTAGCTCTCGCCTCAGCGCAACGCACATTCGTTTCCAAGCATGTGAAAGAGCTTCACGGATTGAGGGCGAGTGGTTTCCAAAATGTAGCTCTCGCCTCAGCGCCACGCACTTTCGTTTTAAAAATTTGCAACGGGCTTCACGGATTGAGAGCAGTTCCTTTTCAACATGGGGCTCTCGCCTTCGCGCCGCGCACATTCGTTTTTTAAATTGAAAAGGGATCCACGTATTCCCGTGATCCGCAAATCAGAAATCGTGTTTGGGAAGGATTCAGGATTATGAGGGTGCGACAGTTACGCTGATTCGCGGTGTTGAAGTCCCAGGGATGATGTTCTGGCACGTTATAAGGTCGTCAAGGCGCAACAGTCAGGTTGATCCGTGGCTTTGGAATCCCGAGAGCAATGTTTTAGCCTGCGTCAGGGTCTTCAAACGGTTGTCTTCCAACAAGGCCGTTCCCCCAGTGGACATGAACCGTTGTAGGGGCCTATGAAAAAGGGAAGCTTGGAGGGAGGAGTTATTCACACATCGTTGATGAGTCTTGGGTTTCCACTGGTCTTTCATCCTCCTCCTCATCCGCCTCCTCCTCCTCCTCCTCCTCCTCCTCCTCCTCCTCTCCCTCCTCATCGTCCTCCTCCATTCCTTCTCCTTATACCTAACTTATCCCTGTCGCACCCCGAGGCCTTGGGCCGGCCTGGCGTTTCGCCTGAGACTTCCTCACCACTTATGACTCTGAAGGTTAGGAATTGGCAACAGCTTCACAGATGGAGGAGAGGTCGTTTTCAAAATGTGGCTCTCGCCTTGGCGCCGCGAACACTCGTTTGAAAAAATTGCAAGTTTCGCAGATTGGGGGCGGGTGTTTTTCGAAATGTGGTTCTCGCCGTAGCCCTGCGCACACTCGTCTTAACAAGTTGCCTAAGCTTCACGGATTGAGGGCGGCTCCTTTTCAAAATATGGCTCTCGCCTCAGCGCCGCGCACACTCGTCTAAGAAATTTGCAAGAGCTTCACGGATTGAGGGCAAGTGGTTTTCAAAATGCGGCTCTCGCCTGAGCGCCGCGCACACTCGTCTTAGAAATTTGCAACGGGCTTCACGGATTGAGGGCGAGTGGTTTTCAAAATGCGGTTCTCGCCTCAGCGCCGCGCACATTCGTCTTAAAACATTTGCAAGAGCTTCACGGATTGAGGGCGAGTGGTTTCCAAAATGTAGATCTCGCCTCAGCGCCACGCAAATTCGTTTTAACAATTTGCAAGAGCTTCACGGATTGAGGGCGTTTCCTATTCAACACGTGGCTCTCGTTTTAGTGCCGCGCATTTTCGTTTGTTTCTGATAAATGTGCAAGAGTTTCACGGCCCCCCGTGATCAACAATCCAAAAATTGCGTAGAATTTCACGGGTCCCCATGATCGACGAACCACACCTGGTGTTTTGAAAGGGTTCAGCAAGCTATGTTGATTCGCGGTGTTGAAGTCCCAGGAATGGCGTTCTGGCACGACTCAAGATCGTCAAGACGCAGCAGTCAGGTTGATCCGCGGGGTTGGAATCCCGAGAACAACGCGTTGGCATGCTTCAGAGTCTCCAAACAGTTGTCTTCCAGCGAGGCAGTTCCCTCAGTGAAAATGACCCGTAGTGGGGGCCTATGAAAAAAGGGAGCTTGGAGGGAGGGTTTACTCCAACCTGGTTGACTCTGCTCGGGGCATTGTTGTACCGCAGCTCGACGGCGAAGCCAAAGAGCCCGATGGATGAAACTTCCTTCCAGTGGGCAGGCAGCGACACGAAGCGGGCAGGTGCGTGGAAGGCGACCGTCTACCTGTGCAAGGGGACCAAGGAGCTAGGTCTTCTTGTCCAGGCGAAGACGTCGCATTTCGTGGCCACGTCGGTTGTCGCGCGGAAGGCCTTGGAGAAGCGCTTCCAGCGTCTGGGGATGGAGGCGAAGCAGCACGCGCGCAGGTGGGGGCATGAGCACACGGGCAGAAGGGCGAAGAAGACCATCGAGAAGAGCGTCGCCTCAGGGGGCGCTGTGGACCGCGCCCCAAAGTGGAAGGCCCTCAGGAGAGGCATTGGCGCCAAGGCAGCGCTGCTTCGGCGGGCAGGTGTCTAACGCATCGGGCGGCCACGGAGGCAGCGTGTCCGGCGTGTCAGAGGTTGCCGTGGTCACGCTGCGCAGCCTGGCCGGCATCGTGGCTGGACACCCCCAGCAGGGGAGATCGTTGACGCGCTGCCTGGCGACACAGCAGCAGGAGCTCATGGACCCGATATTCGATGCGACGGCCGACCTGGTGGAGCGATATGCGGCCTGGCAGTGGGGCGGAAGGTTACCAGGTGCAGACCTCTGGCATGCTTGTGCACTGGGCCTCTCGCTGCTTTGATGTTATATGTGGCGCGCATCGGTTGGGACCTTGGTCAGCCCGACCCAGATCAAGCCATGAGAAGGCGATTCGATCTCGCCGTCAGCGACGCCGCCCCAGGAGGTGCGGGACCTGGTCACTGAAGGGGCAAGACCGTGGCAACACAGTCGCATGCTGGATCATGTTCCCGAGGCGACTGGGACCGAGCACCTGCGGAATAGGGCCATGTGTAAAGGCAGATTGGCACACCCGCCCCAGCAGCAAGGAGCGGCGAGAGCGGCGTGGCCAGGTGCCCCCCCGGCGTTAGCCGCGGGGAAGCAGCGTGGACTTCAGGAGAGTGCAGACTGCTCGCGGCGCCAGGCGCCCTGCGCTTCGCGTGGCAACCTGTGGAACGAGTGCGAAGGTTGGCGCAAGACGAAGGGGTGGACCTGAGGGAGAAGGCGAAGTTACAGCGACGACGGCTCGGACAGAAGGCGCGGGATCAGGGGGCGCGGCGAGGATTGAAACGACTACCTTGAGTTTGTGACGACAGCGCCGACCATCCCGAACATACCCCAACCGCCAGACACCCCGGCCGCGTACCACTAGGGCCCCGACAGCAGCAGGGAAGGTATCAGGCAGCAGCAAGGCGATAGTGGAGGAGCAGCGGATCCTAAAGTACATCGGCCACGCATAAAGAAGTAGGGACGTCGAGTGCACACGGATGGCGCTGCCTCGCACCCCGATTTCCCTGAGCGCAGGCGATGCGGGTGGACCGCGGTGGAGCTGAACCAAGATGGGTGGCCTTGTAGAGCCACATATTGCGGTGTACCTGGGCGCAACCAGACGGCACCTTATGCGGAGAGGTACGCGGCGGAGCAGGCGCTGAAGGCGGCAACTGTTCCCGCGGTGGTGGTCACGGATCACCTCTCCTCTCCTTGGCTTGCGAATCCAAGGGCTGAGAATGCAATGCGGGGCCCAAAGCCAAATATGCAGGATTGTGGCGACAGATACTGAACATGTGCGGGGGGCAAGCCAAAGCCTGAGTTCCCGCGGCAAGGGTCGCACCCGTGCAACGACCAGGCCGTGGAGAAGGGATGTGACCTAATCGATTGGCTCGGCAACCAGCGGGCGGATTTCTTCACAGGCCTGGGCAGTGACGACGCGCAGCTGGCCGAGGGTTTCGCGAAGGACTGCAAGCACAGGTTCGAGAAACGCAGTGGAGGCGGTGGCGACGTTGGGCCAGCTGGCGCAGCGCCACGCGAAATGTGCGCAGAAGCTGGAGACCGAGGCGATGGCCAAGGACCGCAAGGAACCGAGGACGAAGGCCGCAGACTTGGACTACCACGAGCTCCGGCGCGACCCCGACCCGAAGGCGCCAGGGGAGTGGAGGTGTAGGCAGTGTAACGCAGTGGCGAGAACAGAACATGCTGTCAGAAGTCTCTGTACCAGAGCCAAGTACAAGTACTGCGAGCCCACGTTGGTCGAATGTTGGTCTGCGGATGTCTTCTTTCAGGATCATCATGAGTTCGTTCCTGTGAATGGCTCCGCGGCTAAAGTTGTTGAAGCGACGAGGCCAGCCGCCCCGTGTGCCCTGCGCATGTTCAGCGAGGGGATGGGGCGCAAGCCAGTCGTCTTCGGCCCGATCACGATATGCAAAATGCGCGCGCAGCATTATATCGGAAGTGGTCGTGTCAGAGGGCTGAAGGTCACGTGTCCTGGGCAGTCGGAGCACCCGCAAACGCTGGCAGCGCAGAAGACAGCCATCAAGCCCGCCATAGGCCAGCGGCATCCGAAGTCTCGAGTCTCGGGAGCTGCAGGTGGAGGCCGCGGTCGCGACGGCGGAAAGTGCACTGCCCAAGGCAGAGTCGAAACTTGGGGGAAGTGCTGCACATGCTGGACGACAGCCCCAGGCGAAGGTTTCCACCGAGCCCGGTGGAAGGCTGACGGGACTTGGAGAGAGTGCTGGCACAGCGGTGCGGGCGCCCACTGAGCCAGCATCGTGTAAAAGTCGCCACGTCGCCCCCGCTGGACGACAGCCTCGAGCGAAGGGGCCCTCCGAGCCTGGGGTCGGACAGGCGGGGCTCGGGGGGGGTGCTGGCATGGCGGCGCAGGTGCCTGCTGAGCCTGCACCGAGTCAGAGTCGCCACGCTGCCCGATGGACAGCCTCGAGGGCGGGCGCACCTTCCCAGGCGGCCCGGGAGGTGCATTCCCCTGGACTGGGGACAGGTACGGCGCCAGTGGCCAGGGAACTGCGTAGCCCTTGGCGGTGCACAGGAAGGTCGCCGTCGCTTCCCCCCTCCCCACGTGGAGCTAGGTGCAGAGCTGAAAGAGCACAGTCAGGACGCCCCAGCTGGTCGCGGCGGTTCCAGGGAAGAGCGCAGGGGCCAGGCTGCCTCGCCCGAGCGCACTCCCCAGGTGACCAGGGAAGCGCATTCCCCTGGACTGGGGGCAGGCCCCACGACGAGGACAAGTCCGTCTTCAGGGTCGGCGGCCTCCACTGGTGTAGTCACCCGACCTGCGAAAGGTGAGACCCCCCTTGCGCCGAGAGGGAAATCGCTGGAGGTCGGGCAGAGCCGCCAGCAAAAGGATCAAGGACTGCGCGTGCTTCGAGTTCCGCGTCAACTGGGTGCAGGCGGGTTCCCCGCATGGACTGCCCCAGGGAGTTGCGGGCAGCCTCCGACAAGTTGTCGGACGCGACCGACGTGGAGCAGGTCAGCTCGGCGGCGTCGGCCGCGCTGACCCCGCCATCCTCCTCCCCATGCGGGGCTCGATGCAGCCTCGAGAAGTATTGTCAGGACACCCCGGCTCGTGAAGCTGGTACTCTTCCTTCCCAGGTGGCCAGGGATGTGCATTCCCCTGAACTGGGAACAGGCGCTACGACGAGGGCCAGGTCTCCCTCATCGGGGGCCGTGGCGAGGCAGCTGCCGCTCGATGGGAGCGGTGGCCCTGGGCAGGCTTGCCCTGTGCTCGGAGATGGTGGACTGCGACCTGGCGTGGCTGGGCGTGGTGATTCCAAGGAAAGGCGCAGGGGCCCGCTAGTCTCGTCCGCCCGCGCTGCTTTGGCCAGTTCGGCACGGCGACAACTTCAAGGCCCAGGTGGAGGTGGTGGACAGCCCCAGGTGGCCAGGGATGTGCGTTCCCTTGGACTGGGGTCTGGACCGCCAAGCGCCAGTACGGCAAGTCGCCCTCAGTGCTCATTCAGGGAGCTGCTGTGGCTGGCAGAGCACCCTGAAGCGGCCGCCAGGTGCTTCGGGGCGTGCAGCAAACCCCGCGTGGCGAGGGGTTAGGCCACTGCCTGGGCTGGGTGTTGGAGGTTGCCAGTATGAGGACTGGAGGCACCGACGCCCAGGTGTGGACGGAGCAGGCCATGCACATGGGGTGGATCATGGGCCTTCCATGGGCGCCGATGGCGAGGACAGTGCATTCCCCTGCGTGGCGAGGGGTTAGGCCACTATTTCGTCGTGGGCGCCAGTGGCCAGGATGTGCATTCCCTGGGCGTCGCGGGCACTCCCCCTGCGCGGCGAGGGGATAGGCCATCACTTCGGCCTCCGCTGAGGCCGCGGCCCACCGTGGGCCCGCCGCGGGTCGCCGCGGCCTGCTCCGCACGGGGTCGGGATCCGACCCCCCCGTGGAAACGCGCCCTCTCTTCCTCCTCCTCCTCCTCCTCCTCCTCCTCCTCCTCCCTCCTCCTCCTCCTCCTCCTCCTCCTCCTCCTCCTCCTCCTCCTCCGCTTCCTCCTCCTCCTCCTCCTCCTCCTCCTCCTCCTCCTCCTCTCATCATCATCATCATCATCATCATCATCATCATCATCATCATCATCATCATCATCATCATCATCATCATCATCATCATCATCATCAATCATCATCATCATCATCATCATCATCATCATCATCATCAATCATCATCATCATCATCATCATCATCATCATCATCATCATCATCAGCATCATCATCATATTCTTCTTCTTCTTCATTCATCATCATCATCATCATCATCATCATCATCATCATCATCATCATCATCAGCATCAGCATCAGCATCATCATCATCATCATCATCATCATCATCATCATCATCATCATCATCATCATCATCATCATCATCATCATCATCATCGTCAGCATCATCATCAGCATCATCATCATCATCAGCATCATCGTCATCATCATAATCATCATCATAATCATCATCATCATCATCATCAGCCTCATGAGCATCATCATCATCATCAGCATCATCATCATCATCATCAGCATCATCATCATCATCGGCAGCATCATCAGCATCATCAGCATCATCATCATCATCAGCATCATCATCATCACCATCATCATCAGCATCAGCATCATCATCAGCATCATCATCATCATCATCATCATCTTCATCCTCATCCTCGTTCTCATCAGCATCAACACCATCATCATCAGCAGCATCAGCATCATCATCATCATCATCATCATCAGCATCATCATCATCAGCATCATCATCATCATCACCATCATCAGCATCATCATCCTCAGTATCATCATCAGCATCAGCATCATCATCATCATCAGTATCATCATCAGCACCAGCAGCAGCACCATCATCATCATCATCATCATCATCCTCATCATCATCGTCGTCGTCGTCATCAGCATAATCATCATCAGCAGCATCAGCATCAGCATCCTCATCATCATCATCAGCATCATCATCATCAACAGCAGCAGCAGCCTAATCGTCATCATCATCATGATACGCATCATCAGCCTCATCGTCATCGTCAGCATCAGCATCAACATCATCATAATCAGCAGCATCATCACCATCACCATCACCATCAGGATCAGCATCATCATCATCAACGGCAGCATCATCAGCATCAGCATCAGCATCAGCATCACCAGCATCATCAGCATCAACTACAGCATCATCATCATCAGCATCAGCATCAACAACAGCA